CTCACCTTGCCCTCAGCCTGGCCTCCCTCCACCGGCCTCTTGACCGGTGCTTCTCACCCGGGAAGAACCCACCACGTGGTTGTGCATTTGTGCAAAGCGGCACCAGGTGAGGGGAACCTGGGGGGCCAAGGTTCAGACCGTGCTTGGCCAGCCAAGCCGTCCAGCCTGAGTGTGTGACCGGTGGACGCAGGGGCCGAGCCCTTGGCCGCGCTCAGCACTCCCCGGGCGCGGGCAGCCCCTCCAGGAACCTCCAGCCCAAGTGTTTCTGCAAGTCCTGGATGACCCCGAGCCTCGGGCGGCCTTCCCAAGCACGTGCACCGAGGCTACCACTCAGCACAGGGAAGATCCACCTCAACTTCTCCAGGTTACACTCGGCAAAGCTGCCTTTGGATCCCGACTCCTGTATCCCTCCAACCAGAAGTGGCTGCCCTGCTGACCACTCAGACCGCAGCCTGCATTTCCCCGTCTCCACAGCCACAGCCATCCCCTCGCTCTGCCCGTGTGCCCTGCCTGTTTGGCCACCAGGCACCCCCCTGTCATTTCCTTCCACACAGTCACCCAGACCCCCCTCCTCCTCACCCCAGACCTGGACTCCAAGGCCTCGCTCTGCAGCCTGACCCCGTCCAGGCTCCTCCAAGGGGAGTCAGAGATTAGGGACAGAGGAACGGCCAGGGAGCCTCCAGGTGAAGCCATAAAGATGCCGGCTTCCAGGGAGTGGGAGCAGCTGCCCGGACCACACAGCGGCCAGGGACACACTCCTCCTGCAGCCCTATTTCTGCCCAGTCCTCACCGCCTCCCACACGGGCCCATGCCTCCTCCCACCGTCCAATCTGTGCGAATATCCGACCCCTTCTGCTGAGCTGGCCTCCTGCACACGCCTCCCCCGACGACCCAGCTCTGGGCTCCAGGTGACACCAGTGACCTGCCGCCTCCCTGGCACCACTCCTGACGGGAACGGGCCGACGCTGAGCTGCGGGAGGTACCGTGCCTCCCGGGGTCTCGCTCCTGCGCTGAGAAGCGTGGAACAAGGCAGGTGACGGCACAGAGGACGCCCCCGAGTGAACACCACTTCAGCTGCGTGCCCTTCGACGTGTGAGCAAATTCAAACAGCAGCAGGACGGAAGAGCAACTGAAGCACAAGTTACTTGACAGTGTCCTTTTAAAACACACCTCAGACACCGGGCGCCAGCAGCTCTCAGCTCTGGTCTCGGGAGCCCCTCAAAAGCCCAGAGAAACTACCGAGACGCCCAGCGGCTTGGTTGCCCTGGTTTACTCCTCTCTGTTCACTGTGTAAGGAGCTAAAACTGAGAAAAATACTGAGCATTTTTATTAATACTCATTTAAAAAGTAACAAACCTATTGCATTTTACCTCAGGTAAAAAACTTACGAAAAATCACTGTATTTTCCAAAACAACAAAAAAGTGCATCATTTTGCATTTGAGAGGGATCTGCGCAGACGGCAGACCCTGTGCCCAGCAGATGTGGTGTCGCCACACGCGGGAGGACGGGAGAGACAGAGGCCAAGGGTGCCCCGGGGTGGAGGGGGACCCGCCGCCCGGCCGGGGGCCCCGGGGTTCCCTGGGCCGCGCCATGAGAACCACCACCCGGGAGGAGGGGGCCACGCTACCTTCCGCTCCTGCCTCTGCTTTAGCTGCTGCATCTCTACCGCTCCCACCGTGTTTGCCATCAAGGCTCGCATCTTTCTCTCATAGTGCTCCTTTAAGCGGGTTAGGTCACAGGAGAGCTACAGAGAGACACGGTCTTTCACAAACACGCTCTTCCCGGCAGGCACTTCCAGACGGTCTTACATCGCAGGGGCTCCAGCAGCGTCTGGGGAGCGGTGCTCAGACCCCAGGCCTCCGCCCAGGGCCCTGGGAGCCACGTGCCACAGAGACCCCGCATCCAGCCCACCAGCCCTCGAGAACAAACGCAGAGGTAAGTCACACGAATCATCGACAGGCGGACGCGGCTCCAGTTGGCCAGACTGGAGACTCCCACGCCAAGCAAGAGTGAGAAATGCAGGAGCAATCTGTGCACCGCCGTGCCTTCAGACTTCAGGGACATTAAAGATCAAATGCACAAGATACGCATAAAATTACTCCTTTAAGTCAGCACCAGAGCAAAAGAAACCTGAGTTCCAGGCTGCGCTGACGGGGGCATAAGCGGGGGCTGAAGATCCTGAAGTCTCCAGACTGGCCTACTTTCCTGCAGCCCCCCTGGGGGGGGAAATCCTTGCGCTGCTCCCTCCCTAGATCACTGCCACCGTCTCAAGGATGCGAACCGAGGCCCCACCGCTCCCCAGGGCACGTTCCCGCCTCCGCCCCGACAAGGACAGCTCGGCAACTCTTGACAAAAATCTGGGGCTGCTGGTGAGGCGACTCTTCAACTAGGCAGAGTGCTGTTTCAGCAGGTTTTGGAAAGGGGCTTTTACACTAGGACACTTGGGTCCCTGGCCCCAGGACCTGCCCCACAAGGAGGGACCAGAGGCTGCCCTGGGGGGTCCTCTGTGCTCGCGCCGCTCCGGGCAGGCCCTCCCGCACCTGCCACCCCTGCCCTGTCCCCTCGGCCCTGCTGGTGGGACTCGGGTCCCGGTGGGCGGCCAGGAGGGCAGAGTCTCTGCTCAGTCACGGCGCCTGCGGCTCGGGACTATCGCCCGACGCAGCCCAGCCTCTGTGTGACCCACCAGGCTCACCAAGGACGAAGGTCAGGGGGTTTCACCCTCTCCCCAGTGCACCACCAGGGATGCATCCTGCTGAAATGAGACCCCAGCGCCACAGTGAAAGTCTCAGTTTCAACCTGGAGCGCTGGCGCAGCTGCCTCCCTGGCTGTTGGCTCAGCCACACATGTCGCCTGTAGCTTCGCTGGCTGCTCACGTCCCAGTGGCAGTAGCTCTGGTGACAGAAGAGAGCTGAGTTCCTGGAGGAAGCTTGTTAATAACACGGGTGCTCTGGGCTGGCTACCCTGAACTGGCAGGTTCTCCTTGAGTTTCATGAAACAAGATTCCAGAAGAGAGGACACCGAGCACCTGTAACAACCTGTCAGCCACCGACGTGGAAACGGCGTCCGGGAACACGGAGTCCGGCCTGGGCTACGGGCAGGTGGAGGGGTGGTGCCCGCTGACCCTGTCGGGCTGGCGGCCTCCATCCACGTGGGGCCTGCACCTCAGCCCCACGCCAGGCACACGAAGCCAACAGGAGTGCGGGCCGCAGCAGAGACCACCTTTCACAGACCGTCGAGCGCCCCCGAGCCCGGGCCCCTGGGAAGACAGCCCTCGGCAAAGCCGCTCTCATGGCCCCAGCCGACACCACCAGCCCTGGGAACACTCCTTCCGGACCCTCGCCTCAGGAGGTTCTCTCCCTCACCCTTCAAGGAAGGATAACCTGGGACAGCCCGGCAGCTTTTGTCCTAAAACACCCTTTTGTGACATATTCTATTTTCTATCTTCCTATTTGTGTGAAGGCTGAGGTTCAAAGCACCCGCTAACGCAGTGGGGCCCATGCACATGGCGTGCAGGGCCAGGGTGTCCTGTGTGCACGAGACAGACCCTCAGGGACGGCCACTGCCTTAGGTTATTCAAGACGGCGAGCGCTTAGGGCCTTGAGTAACTTGGTTTGTAAAACTTAGCTCTCCCGTCCCGCCAGGCTTACACTGTATGAAAGAGGAGCGTCTTCTCCTCTGCCAGTGTCCCGCGCTCCCCTCAGACCACGTACACCCTCTTAAACGCAGCTCAACACCCCGTGGGCCAAAGCCACGCTTCCTGGAGCGCCAGACCGGGGCACGCACGCAGCGCACGCACCTGCTTCCTGTGGCCACCGCGCAGGAAGGGGCGGGGGGGCCCGTCTCTGCTCTCGCAGTCGCTCTGCTCCCCGTAGCTCTCGAACTCGCTGGAGCTCCAGCCGCACTCCAGGGAGCTGTCCCCGCCCTCGGCTCCGTCCTCCACGTCATCGTAAATCATCTCGTCTGGGGGCACAAACGCCAAGATGCCGCTGAGAAGGCAGCCCTGCAGCTCTCACCTCGCGCACGCCCGTCCCTGCACCGCAGGAGCCGTGGGAGTGGGGCCACGGGCCCGACGGAGCCCGAGGACCCCCGGTCCATGAGAACCCACCACAGCGCCACCAAACTCCCGCACACAGGGAACTTCCAACGAGGGAAGAGTTAGACAAACGTATGGAACATAAACAGGACAGACAGACGGACAGAGGGACAGACGGTGAAGTCTGAATATGAGAAGCTCGTGGCAGATGCCCGGGAATTCTCTTCTGTGCTAAAAAGAGCCTAATGCGCTTACAGCCTGCGACTGTGTTCAGACGTGCGGTCACCTCGGTCCTCTAGGGTCAGTGACGCGCACTCCTGTTTCTGTCACCAAACACTGTGACGAAGGCCCTGCCCGCGCAGGGGACATGCTGCGTCTCCCCAGAGCAGCCCTCACCTGCGGCAGGGGCACCACTCCCGGTGGCGTCTGGTTCTGAGACCCCAGACCTCCCCTTCTGTGCCGGGAAAGGCCGACCTGGGAGGATGAATTGCTGGAACACGCTCCTCAGGCCTGGTCATGCAGACCAGCCCGGGGCCCCACCTTACACGCAACATGTATTTAAATGTCCCCCAGGAGCGTCCTTATCTAAGGACCTCGGAGGTTTGTCTGTAAAGAGACCCAGACGCACGGGCTGGTCCCCCACGGGAGGCCCTCGAGGGGAGGACTCGCCAGCTGAGGCTGGAACAGCGCTGGGCTCGTGGCAGCATCCAGAGCACTCGTGGAAGGACTCAAGGAAACCGCGTGGGTCACCTGTGGATCTTAGGGACGTGCGCTCCAACCGCTGAGGAAGCTTCCTTCCGCCAGGGGCTTCCAACGTGGAAGGCCACCGAATCCCTGCCACGGGCCTTCCAGGCACGTGCAGACTGAGGCCTGGTCCTGCCAGAAACGACAGCTGCGACCCAGCCAACGTTTAAGGAGCCCTGGACCCCACAGACGGTCTCGGGGGTGAAGGTGGGCCTCGGCTTGTCTGCTGGGACATTATGGGATGTGACTGCTAACACGTCTCTCGGGGTGCTTAGCTTCACACCTCTGGGGCGAAAGGGCTCCATGCAGGCTGGGCCAGAGGGCGCGGTGTCCCTGCTCACCGCTCTCGCCTGATCACCATGCTCAGCGTCCTTCCCCATGGAACACGGCCAGGGAGAGGTCAGTCTCTCCAGCCCATCTGTCGCTGCCCCTGACTCCCTCTCCGTGAAGGACAGCACTTCAGCTGCGTGTGGGAGTCTAGGCTGGGGCACTGTCCCCTTCAGCACGTGGCCCTGCTCCGTCGAGAAGTCGGCTGTCCCTTCGAACCGCGCTGACCACGCTCTCCCCTGTTCCTCCTGAGACGTCCACGTGGGCTGTGCCCGGCCGTCCGAACTGCCCGAGCCTCGGCGCCGACGGGCACCTCAGCCTGCTGTGAATTCCTGCTCCTACAGTCCAAAAACTCGCGCCTTTAACTCCAGAGGAGTCTAGTCACGAGACACTGCACACGCACGAGACGTGCCTGCACGACACGCGGGCGCCGGGCGCAGACGCGCGCACGTCCACACCCAGAGGGAAAGGCTGCCGAACCGAGTCTCGTAAGACTCAGATCTGGACAAAAGCAAACCTGGCTCCGAGTCTGAGTTTTCTCTGGGCACGTCATCGTAGATGGCTTCTTCCGGATCTGGAACGAAAGGAAGGAGACTTCAAGCACTGACCGAGCCCCGCGTCAGACGGGCCCATGGCCACGCGGCACGGCGCTGGTCAGGAAGTCAGTCTGTAAGGGTGGCTGGTGGCTGGCGGTGCCCACCAGAGGGGAAGAAAGATTTTTAGGGCAGAACTTTTTCTTGGGACGGAAGCTCCGCGCTGTGAGCGGAGCACTTGTGAAACGTCACCAGCAGGGAGTTTCCCGCTTTCCAGGCCAAGCTCTTTCACTGTTTCGCGTTCAACCACAAATCCCCACATGGCTCTTTATAAACATTGTTAAGCCAGTGAAGTGAACGCACACAAACAATGCAAAGGTGGCGTGCCCGAAAAAGAGGGACGGCTTCACAGCCGCCCGTGGAAACAGACCAAAGGCCTCCCCTCGCGTTGGTTTCTCTCCCCAGTTTGCTATCGGTGATCCCATGTGAATAACATGTTTATCCTCTTCCTTATGGGGAACGATTTCCGCAGTCAAGTCCGAGAGCACAGCCAGCCAGCCAGCCCGCCCCACCCTGGCCCCTCCGCGCACATCCCAACAGCAGGTCGCCTCCTCTGTCCCCGGGGCCGCCTCACCTCCCCTCTCCCCGCAAAGCGCCCTCCGTGACCACCAGTCCTCACCGGACAAGCTCTGGCCCGGGGATTAACCAGGGACATCACGTCTGGCTGAGAGGGGACACGGGTGCCCAGCCGCACAACGTGGATGAGAGGCAGCCACGCGCGAGCAGAAAAACGTTGAACTTTTAGGACAAAATCTCTCAAACTCTATTATGCGGGACATTAGTGTCCAAGGAAACTGTAATGTGTTTTCTTTTTTTAAAAAAAAAAAAAAGTAGGGCTCCTCCCTGGGTGGGTGCTCTGTGTGCCTGCATTAGACGGTCCCGCGGGAGAGCAGCAGGGTTTGTGATTCATTTAGACACTTTCCCCGGGCTTCACAGGGAAACCAACCCAACCACAGGCCCCCCACCCTGAAACCACAGAGGGAACCGGTGACAAAGCAACACGAGACAGAACGAGGCTCACACAGCCTCCCTCTCCCCAGAAGTGGAGACACCGTCCCTGTCCCCACGCTCCCCGGGTGAGCAGCCTAACTCTGCTGCTGCCAAGCTCCCGTGTCACAGACGCCGTCCTGCAATAATGTGTGTTAACTGCACCCCAGGAAGCGTCCCTGCTCCCATGAGCGCGTGAGGGGCTGCTGGTGCACAGGGGGCACCTTCCAGTAAGCCACCCCGAGAGCAAGGCCGAGTCACGGGCGAAAGCTGGCAGATTCCACTCAGGAAATAAACCTGGAGGGGCCGGTGGGAGGGAGCTTTAACCCTGCAACGATCCAGGGCCAACGGCCCCCAGCAGGCGTCACTGATGCTAAGTTCTTCATTCTGACGATGTCACAATTAAAGCCAGAAGGAAACGTTCCAGGAGAGAGTTTAATAATTAGCAGACAGTGAGGGCGGTTCCACCTGGTAAGCCAATCATTTAAAACAACCTCACAGGAATCAGTGAGCCAGTGGATAATGAAGGGGGTAATTTAAAAAGCAGTATTTTTTTTAAAAAACAAACCTAGCTAAAAATAGTTCTGCTCTCTAAACCACACGTGCAGCAGGCCGGCTGAGCCATCTGGTCGGTCGGCTGGTGTAACGCCCCCCACCCCGCAACGTGGCACCACGAGAAAGCGCCTCACTGGGGGCCCCGGGGAGGCGAGCTGCTACTGCCCCAGCCTCCGCATGTCTGACGGGCCCCGGCACCTGGGCCAGAGGAAGCCGT